TTTCTTTTTCTTTTTTATATTGTGTATTCTATTTTTAAAATCAACTAATTAATTTACAGAAATTTCCATGGTACTTTATTGTATTTTGTCTTAACAGGCCCACAAAGGCTAGTAATAAAGCATATATTTATATATATAATAAGATAATATTAATATTAAGCATCGAATACGAAATTCACTGGAAAAAAAAGGAGTTACGCATCTATATAAGGACGTGTAGTGTTCAACAGGAACGCTAAAACAAATTCATGCAATTCTTATAAAAATCGTACCTGATTCTTAGTAATTCTTATACAAGATTACGCAGAAAAATGAATGAAGTTTGATAAGAGTCTTGTAAGAATCTGATAAGAATATCATAAAAATTTCATAAGAAAGCGATAAGAAGTTCTTCTGTTCTTACAAACGTGTTATAAAATGCTTATTCTTACGGAATTTCGATAAAAAGTTTCTGACATACTTTGTCCTTGCAATAGTTTTCAGGAGAGTTAATTTTAAATTATTCTAGACAACGAGTAATTTAACGATTCCGTTTTACTCTGCGAAACAGTAAGAAACTCAATGTTGGACTATGAGACATTTATGTTTCATAGTGACTTTGAAGTGGTTGTGCTTTCGAGAGTGCTCTGTATAGAACAACTTTAAAATTTTCGGTATCTGACGCACCAAGAACAAATTGTAATGCATTTTCACGATCTTTAGACGTTGATAAAAATCCATTTGTCGAAATTAAACCATCGATATTTGCTTTGGTATTATCAAATTCTTTTATTGGCATATGTGCTTGACCACAATAAAGTGTTAAATGAGATTCAAATATTTGTTCTTTATATATATTTTCTAATTGTGTACAAAGATCGATAATAAAGAATCGAAATAAATACCAAAGTGCTACGTCTTCAGTACGAAAAGCCTGATTAACCAGTCTATATACGAAACTATCGCGAGTATACCAACTGACAGCCGTTACTGAAGTATACGTATTACGAAATAATTCAATTTTCTCAAGTTCACTTTTATCTCGACGATAATAATCTTTACATTTATTAAGCATGATTTCTTTTGCTTGTTTTATTTGTGGCATTTGTTTTAACAAATCAACGAATAAAATGTACGAGAAATAAGCACTTCTATTTCCTTCATCTTGTATTGACGATGGTAACGATCTGATAGATTTTAGTGTTTGATTAGTAAATAAATTAAATTTTAATGATGGTAATTCACGTTCAATGCAATTTTTCAGTGTTTCATGTTCCGTACATACATCAGTTATATTAGAATACTTACTCGTAAGTTCAGTATACTTATTGTAATTCCATAACGAAGCTTTTGTCTCTCACTTTAGTTTCCTTTGGATGTTGTGGAACGGAAATAAGAAATATTCGTGCAAACATTTCTTGCTCAGCTATTCTATAAAATTTTTTAGCTTGCTTATGATTGGGCCAAGAAAAAATTGTTTCTAACCAAAATTTTTAGACGCATCCATTTAATGAAATGCCTTCTATCGAAACAAAAATACGTATTTCATGTATAGCATAGAGAATAATAAATGAGAAATTAATCCTTGGATCGATCATAAAGCGTAGAATCACCAGAAAGGAACTGGCTCTTCTGTACCTTGCAGTTATTTTCTCACATTTCCGTTCAACATTTTTCCTTCTACGTGTAGCTCTACGTGAAAAATTGACTTACGAGGGAACCGTTCGAAGTGCCGCGCTCCGATTTTTTCCGTTCATATGCCGCTCAATAGCGTATTACCCTCAACTAGGTAGTAAAAAGCCTAGGAGGATATCGGCCCATGGTGCATCCTTCAAAACTTAGAGCAGTTTTTCAGCTGAAAAAGCGAAATTTGAAAAATTCACAAGTTTTTCAAAACACGTCAAATTCGAATGAAACTGTGTATGGATCAGCTCTACACCCTGAAATTTATAGACGGCTTCGCCATCTACTGTCGGAGCTGAAAAAAAGTTTTTGTTTCCTTGGATAAAGTTTTAGTTTTTTGCTGCGAATAAGTATATCGTTTCTTCTCTTTCTCTGCTCATATATACTTTCATATCAGCCGTTTATCAGCTGATTTTGACAGGAAGTTATGTGACACACTATAGTTTTATGCCTTGTAAGGAAAAGCAAAACATGAAGTAATTGATAAAGAACGCAAAAAACAAAAAAGGACTGTTCATGTGTCTTATGCTTTTTTCTCGTTTAAGTCCAACTTTTACTTCATGATACACCTAGTTGAATGATTAATTCGCACAACGTTATTCGAATATTATCGAACTTGATTATAAAGTTTATTCCAAAAGAGAAGCTAACTTGTTCTTACTCACATCGAGACGAAGATGTAGCCAATAATCTATTTCAAAGTTTAGAATGTATTTTAAATTGTACTTCGTATACTTTTGAAAGAGAACAGACTTTAGATTTCGATTTCAGTGACTTAGAGCAGTAACAGGACGACGTTTGAGCGCCCGACATTTGAGCGCCGACATTTGAGCGCCGACACTTGAGCGCCCCGACATTTGAGCGACTGATATCTGAGCGACCGACATTTGAGCGACCGACACTTGAGCGACCGACAGTTGAGCGACCCCGACACTTGAGCGACCGACATTTGAGTAATAACGACCGTTCAGCACCAAGTGCTCACTCTCACCATTACCCCCACTCACCCACACCCACCCTTACCCTACACAGCCTCACCCTCAGATCTCCAAATAATTCAG